TTAGCCAGGCGTGGTGGCGTGCATCTGTAGTACTCAGCTAGTAGGGAGGCTGAGACAGAAGAATCGCTTGAACCCGGGAGGTGGAGGTTGCAGTGAGATCGCGCCATTGTGCTCTAGCCTGGCCAACAGAGCGAGACACCATCTCAGAAAAAGCCTCTGAAGTTTGTGGCATCTTTAACTGGGGGTGGGATGGGAGGAGAGGCTCGCTTCTCAAGGGCGTTCTCTTCAACAGGCCCCAAATGAACATAATTATTTGTAATCAGTTTAGGTGGTTACATTGTACTTCTTAGACTATGAATCACCTGGAGAGCTTGTTAAAATGCATTCTGATTTAATGGGCTGGGGCCTAAGATGCTGCATTGCCAACAAGCGCCAGGTGCTCCCCATGCTGCTGGCCCAAGGACCACACGAAGTAGCAGCAAAGCAGAGAAGCAGCTTGATTCTTTATTGATGGGAGCCTGTTGTTGGGGACACTCAGGCCCTTTTATGTGGTAACCACAGAGGAAGGGGACATTTTCTTGTTGGGAGTACTAGGACAGTTGGGGTGATGTTTGAAGTGGCTAGGATGTCTTCTTATAAGTCAGCAGGTGGCATCTTTTCAGTGGCTTGTTCAGAACTCTGGGCCATGGTAATCTCTCTCTCCCTTGGGATCAGCCTGGTAAACAGCCAGCTGAATTAACTTCAGAAAAGACTCATTCGTGGGCTGGGCTGTGGTGCAGTCTTGCTGGAAGTGGCCTAGGTACAGAGCAGTGCCGGGCTGTGGAGGAAGCCGCACTGTTCTGTAAACACCGAGATACAAGAGCATTCCTGTGTGCCGCCCCGTGAGTGTCATGCATGTGTGTGTGCACGCCCCCTTATCTCTAGCCTCATTTTCCATTGCACAGGATTTGGGAAAAACCTTCCATCTGGCCAGCTGAACTTCCATCTGGCCAGTTTTGAACTGGGGGTTGTTATCAGGGTTGGGATCAGCCGTTGTTGTTAGAATCATTGAGTATCTTGGGTTTGGAAGGAAATAATAATTCCGTAGGTTCCTTTCCACTTTAGATGTTGATGTAAACTTTGTCCCCCTCAGTCTTGGCTCTAGGCTGGAGGAAGCAGAGCCTGGAAATTAAGCTCCCCAGGGTCCCTTCCTCCTTAAACAACCTATGAATCTGTGTCTGCGAATTTGGAGCAATGGCGCTATCTGAAATTTCCAGGGTTCTCATGCCGCTTTGGGGGACACAGTGGAGGAAGAACCTGTTGTTTCTTGCAGCGTTTCCCTTCCCTTGGATGCGATGAATTCTCCTGTTAATTTTTTTGTGATTTTTGTAAAATAAATTACAGGGTGGCAAGTAGTCACTGTGCTGATGTAAATTTGGAGTTGGTGGGAATTTTGGGACGAAGCTCTGTGGCCCTGGGGTTTTTGAGCGGAGGAGGTATTTTATGCTCCCCAGGTCTTAGAACGTGACCTGTGGAAAGGCCTAGGATGTTAAGACAGTTTAGACAGGGCAAACTGCTAATTCTTCTCACCTGTGAAAACAGCTGCTCTTATAGAGCACAATCCTTGACTTGCCCCAGTGGCTCTAAAGCTCAGGCCCTGGAGCAAGGGGGGAAATTGATCCCTTAATGTGGCTTTCTTCTCACTGGAGTTTTGTATGTCATCGTGCATTTGAGTTAGAGCGGACAAGCGCCAGCCAAACTGCTCTTGTGTGGGTGAGGGAGGCGATATGGTCTGTCTGGGAAAGCGCTTGCTTCAGTTTCCAAAGGGCTGTGGGTTCCAGCCCTGCTTCTGCGGGGGAATTCTGCAGTTGTGCCCAGCAAGCACCTGGGGAGGAGCATCGCAGGGCATGACTGAGGAGCTGCAGGGCAGCCTGGATACCAGCACCACTGGGAGCCTTGCTTCTCTCACTCCCCAGCAGGGCATCTTCCTCATGGAATCAGGTACAGACCCTCCAAGACTGACCTGGAAGGAGACACTTCAGTGAGGAGTGGGTCTCCCTGGCTCTTTGTACCCTCGGATTCTTCAGGTTCTAGATGTTGAGGAGTTGAGCTCAGGGCAGTGAGAATTAAGATGGGACCCCCACACCTTCCCATGAACCTTGACACCATGTCTCTGAGCCAGGTTAGTGATGATGTCCCTTGTGATATCTGCCAGCCTTTGCCAGAGTCCCCTTTGAGGGCCTCAGACTTCTGTTGTATGATGTGGAGGCCCTGTTTGTCTTCTCCTTTGCCCAGCCAGAGTGTTGCAGGAGGAGCAGTAGCATTCTGAGGCCCAAGTGCAATAAATGAGATCCCAAGATGAAGGTGGTTTTCAGAACAGAGGGAGGGGAGCCTGGGTGAACTTCCTACATCCCCAGGGAAGCTTTCCAAGGTCATCCTCACCTCTGCTAAATACCTTTTCTACGAATACGTAATATAGAATGCACTTTATTCCAAGGCATGTGGGAGATTATCTATTTCATGATACAAAACCCTCAGAGGTGAATTCCCTCCTCTTTCTAGGAAGCTGGAGATAAGGAACAACGCATGTTCTCGCTGAGCGGTGGCTTGGCATTTTGTACTCTTTGAACACGAGTGCAGATTTTGTTTAAAGTCTCATTGTTCAAGGCATTTTCCCAATGGCTCATAGCTCAGCGTAAACTGTGCCTGATTAGTGTTGTTTGGTATTCTTTGCTATCGATCTTCTGTTGACTACTTTCCAGAAACAATGCATAAAACTATAGGTCAAAATTGTTTTTGTGACATCTGGAGGGGAGCTTACTGCTATTTCCCCTGGGTTCTGCACTCACACAGGCCCAAACTACCTCTTCTGTCTTCCGGTGTGTCTTTCCCCTCTTCTGTAGCCAGGGGATGCTCCTGCTAGGGATGGCCCACGCCTGGCAGCTTTTCAGATCATGATGGAGGATGCAGAGGCTCATTCTTGCTCCTGTTTGCATGCAAATGGTCCTATTTCTGTTTTGCAGTGGGAGAGAGGGTGCAGTTTATAATTCCACACTCTGCTATTTTTTTTCCTATTTGCCTCTAAATGTCCATGCTGTATGTGTGGTGGGGGGTAGGAGGAGGAGGAGGGGGAGGCAGAAGGGAAATAGCATCTCTAAATTTTGTTATTGAAATAACACATACAGGAAAGTGTCCATATCATATACAGTTATCACAAATTTGTATAACATCACTCAGGTTGAATGACACTATTTTCAACACCCCCAACAATCCCCCTCCCTAATTACAATCGCGCTTTCTCCTCCCCAGAGGTCACCATTACGCTGCCTTCTAACACTACAGTTAAATTTCACATGCTTTTGAACTTTAGATAAATGGAATCAGACTGTGAGTATGCTGTTGTGTCTGGCG